AAAGTGGCTAAAAAGAGTAGACCACAAGTTCATAGAACGTTTCCCGTGATTTTGCAGACGGCATTGTAGTTGGCATGATCGATTCTGGGTCAATCGTAAAGGGCCACGCATTCAATGGACACACGATCCATAATAGTTTCAGACAGAGCTCCAACGGTTACTGTTAAAACCTTTTGTTTTTCTATGGTTGCAAAATCCCCTTTTCAGACAATAAAAACTGTCGAAAGACAAAACTCTGGTTAAATATTATGTAATAGTTCAACTTTGTTGGCAGCGAGTTTTTGTTCTGAACGCGCACATTTCCCGCAAGCAACTTCGATCAAGAAATAAGCTTCATTGCTGAAAGTTGCTTGAAAATGATAGTATCGGGGATCTCAATATATTCTCAAAGCTTCGACATTGTGGTTTAAATGCAAAAAAACTGAAGAAACTTTAGACTTATGTCAGAAGTTGACATTTGTTTTGTTCTAATCAAGTAGCACATTAATATTGCTGCCATAACATGCAAAGTAGAGAATTTGCAAGAATAGTTTTAAGAAGTTCTTTTACACGGTTGGAATGAAAAAGCAAAACAAGCAAGCAGTGTTATCACTAGAAACAAGATAAAATAATATCTTGCTAGAAATAAATCAGTGTAATAATTTTCTTCGCCAAAGAGATGAATTAATAATGATGATGCTATTATAGCTTTCCTCCAATTCCATTTGAATGAAAAATTTGTAAAGCTCGGTCTTAATTCAGTGGCGTAACGCAGTTTATGGCGCCTTAGTTCGATAATTAAGGACCCCCGATCAAAAAGGGCCCCAATTTTTTGATACTCTTGCTGTCTTACTTTCGTTCTAGTTCACCTAATTTTCAAAACTTTTTCTCCCTTGTTAACGAGAAATGATCTCAAAATTACATTTTGCTTTTGTGTTTGAAATGCTCTACAGCGGTGGGTAGGACTTTCTTGTAGTCCGTGCATAGGGTCCCAATCTCAGTGTTTTCCCTTAGGCCCCCTGGTGCTTCCGTTACGCAACTGCCAAAATTGTTTTAGGAGCGCCATATCACAAAAAGCAAAGAGTATCTTCGAGGGTAGATCACTAATCAGTGGGGTAGATATGATGTAAATCAACTGCCTCGACAAAAACCTTTCGCTCCGGAAAAGAAAAATACTTGTTTGGCACAACATTTTCAGCATCTTATTGGTTGGTTAGGAAAAAGACACCTTTTCTCTCCACGATGCATACGTCTAAACGCCGTTAGAGAAATACTTAAAAACGACCTATCACCCGCAAATATGCGTTACATTTACACACTGCAGTCATATATAGCAGACGTTTAATGATAAATAAAGACTGAACTTCGGGAATCTTTACATTGTTAAAAATCATTCCTTTGCTAAGCGGTTGACCAAAATCGCTTCGCGATCTTTCTTGTTTTGAGAAACTCAAAAGTCTGTTTCCACAATTGGCTATTGGTTTCCATATTTTGGCTTCCATTGATTGAAATCTGTCTTTGGGCATCAATCAAAAAGACGCCTCAAAAACAGCTATACTGTTTTACAAATCCATACTGGAAAACATGTATGTTACGCCAAAGATCTTTGGCGAACAACAGCGGTACGTACGCCAAATTTTGGCGCATTTCTCCGACAAAATTTTGGCGTAATTGCTTTGGCGTAAATGTGCTATTTTTAACTTGAAGACTTGCTGACGTGTCGTAATATTTAAAATGCTATCTCAAGCTTTCTATACACTGCATGTGCATGACAGGGGTTTCCAACATACGGCCCGCGGGCCAGATGTGGCCCGCGAGGGCATATGTGGCCCATGCCCGTGCAAAGTCAATAGTTTTATCCCTCGAGTATATTGAGTATATACGTCTATGGTGCTTGAGTATATTTTCATGATTCATTATTAGTATTGTATATCTTCAAACTGTTGGGTATACTTTCTCATTATTAGGCATTCATTCGCATTACTGTAAGCATTTTTATTACGAAGCTGAACAGACGAAGTCAAGCTACAATCTAAGCATACAGAAAAACATTTAAATGACTTTCTTTGCACGTCAACCACAAGTTTAATGTGTGATGTGATTATTCAATGGGCCCGCCTGTGCAGTAAGATTCCGTCAATAACCCATCCAAAAAAAGAGTTGGAAACCCCTGGTGTAGTTATTTCGGGTTCATCTTCTGTTTATACGGAACCTTTTTCAATTAGAAAAAACCATGGAAAATCATGGCACTATAACCCTCCCTTTGCGCTGAGCGATTTCTGTAGTAATGATTAGATAAAAAGTATGTTTAATAAACGGCACGACTCGAAAACGGCAATAAACGTTTCACCCTTAAAACAGAAAAATAGAAAACATTGCAGACTTAATGAGAGGCAAACTGCTCATTTGTCGCTCTTCGAATCCAGCAGCTCCCCCCTCTAACCTAGAAAATTTGGTCCCCCCCCCCTTAGCCTAAGAAAGTTGGTCTCTGAGAAAAATGCAAACTGCAATAGGAATATCAAATTCAAGATGTGAACAAGCTATTGACAGTTGATGCATTCTAAGCTAATCTATAGGGCGTGGTCGCAAAAGTTTTCATCACATATCAAAAGGTCTCTTGGTCCTGATTGATGGCACTTAAAAATGGCATACCTTTCTTAAAATATATTTGCAATAGGATGCGTTTTACCGTAGTCTTAAGGGCGTGGTCTGCAAAATATTTCCCGCGGGTAGACCGACCCCTGGACCAGTACTGTTAGGTTTGACATTTTGACATTGACAAAAAGCGAACTTTCCAGCACGGTAAAAATAATCATCCCTATCGCCGGCTTAATGCAGCATATGTTATTGGTTTTTCTTATCTTTGCTTATTAACTTCTAACCTTCATGACTTTCTGAGATTTTTTTCTGTGTTCTTTAGCAATCATTTCGCCCAAATTATAAGGGGATTCGTGGGGCTGTCTTCTGATTTCCATAGTACTACTACAGTTAATGCCACTGGCAAAGTTCTCAGAAAAAAAAACTAAAAAATTAGGAGAGGTTCGCTGCATTGTCAGTCTACATCTACTTGAACGCATTTTATTAAAAGTTTGGTGAGGTTTGTGGAAATGAGAAAATCCTTTAGCCATTTGTCAACATACAGCACGCTTCTGCAATGCATAGCGTATGGTTTGGGATCGTTTGGGATGGTTCGGCAGTATTGACATAAATTTATGGTAAAGGACAAGAAAATAGGTCAAAATGACCAAGAGGAATGTATGTACATAAGTCATGTTTGTGTTGGCATCGCATGGTTCAAATGGCAGCCAAGTTCATTCAAAAAATGTCTAAGTTGGGCGCTTTGTCATTTGAACTTTTGCAGCAGGGCTCTTAAAATAGAGCCAAATATGAATCATTTTTGGCAAAAAAAAAATTTTGACCACTGAAAATATGTGAATATATGCAGATTTGTAGGTTCAAATTGTGGAAAGATGCCACGAGAAAGTATGAAGGTACCCAGTAGTCTCAAAATAGAGACCTGAAACCTCTGGGCAGCGCAAAGAAGACCATAATCTTTTCAAGCGACATTGGGGTCTGTGATACTTTCACCAGAAGTAACAATAGGCGACCCTCTCTTCTAGTTGATTTAAATCTTTTTCGTACGTATCGTGAATTTTGTGCATTCAAACCCAATGAAAGATTTTACTAAGCAGTTATAACTGTGTAATAAATTTTCATATAACAATTAAGATGCCCCAGCATATCTCTGAGTACAGGCCTCATACAAGAATGGACTAGTTTCTATCGCCTAGATTTCAATTTTACCAACCGCAGAGTAGAAATTCAAAGGTCATAAATATTGTGCATTATAACTTTAAATCGCACTCCTTTGCAATAAGCGAGATTTAATTATCAACTGGACATAAAACAGATAGAACAATGCGGAACGGCTACTCAGCTAATACGTTGAGATTACTAATGCAAGTCCATGAGTGGTGTGTTGCAAGGTCCTTCTCGATAGATTAGCGGTGTCACGAATCATTGGGGGATAAATAAGTCGTGTGGGGTAGGATTACATTACTTCGGTCGTACAGGTCTTCCGTACTGGTATTCTAAACAGTGCATGGTATTCTAAGCATAGAATAGAATATAAAAATCGGTAGCTGATGCGTTAAAGGAAATACACGCCCGTATAGCGATGCCTGTTCTCTTTGGCTATAGAGAAGAGAATGGCTCGCTGGTTAGGCTACCGCGCTACAGACCCAAGGGTCCGTGGTTCGAGTCTCTGACATGACTAAACTTTCACCCAGAGTGTAGGGAGTAGCCAGCTCTCTGTCCTTACAGGCGTAGAAATCACGAGGTGTGGTCATATCAAGAGGAAGGACCAGGACACTGCTCAATAAGCACAGCATCCAGTATCCTAAAAATTACCTTCCGCTGCTAGGTAGCAAATGCAAGTACATAAAATGGTGTAGAGATACATGAAAATGTCAAATCGCTTCGTATTGTCACGGTAACCTTTCTGGATGAAAATCGAGAGTTAGTTCACTTAATAGGATTTTACCCTATCATTCGTTAGTTGATTATGTTTGGTGTAAAAAAGATGTTTCACTCTGCAATTGGGTATAAAATATACTATTGGGCAAAAAGTTAACAATCTGAAGTACTTTGAAAAATGACAAAAATATAGAAAACTGCCTCCCTCCAACTCTTCAAGTAAATGTTAACTTTCCATAATCGACGTTAGGGGAAAAGAACCTTTTTTTGGCTGAGGGGGTGGGGAGAGGGGTTATAAGCTCTGATTGCGAACTTTTATTCACGGTTGCGATAAACGGTTTTCCACGATTGTAGATACACCTGTGTACAGTACCCGGCGATTCAAACTTTAATGGGTGCTACTAAAATGCTTTTACTCATCAGCAAGATCAACAAATGTACCGCTGTTTCAAGCGACACAGAACCAAACTAGAGTTTGTTCTCCACATGATTGCAAAAAGAAAGCGGCTTTCCAACAATTGAGAGCAAAGATAAAAACCGAACCATATCGAAACAAATTCTTCTTTACAGAGAAAGAAGGAAATTTTACAAACACAAAGCTGCATAGACTAGTTATGTTTACAAATATGCAACATTGATAAATTCATAATGTTTGATGCTGGATTTGTGCCAGAGTTTATTATAACTTTTTACAACAGTCATGATATGCTAAGTATGTGTCATTAATCTTAGAAGTATGAAATATTTCTATTAAGACCCCACATATAAAAGTGCAAAATTTTAATACAAATTATTTACCATAAAATGTGCTCATATGTTGTCAGTTGGGATTCACTTTGGTTTTAGCCATGAACCTAAATGCAAGAAAAACAATTATTGATTGTATGAAGCTATTCGAATCAAATATACAGAAACAATTTTAACAAGAAGCTATAATGGAACTGTCATGTTTTAATAAACAATTTTAACATCATTTTAATTTTTATTGATAAATATTTTTCATGCTTACTGAAATTATCATCATATAATGCGCGCTATTTATATAATGAGTTATAACTTCTCCTATGAACTGGCGATTAAATAAAAGTAAACATTTGTGTAAGGAAGTTATCTGGAGCTTATTCTCGACTATAAAAAACAAATGGCTGTATAAAATTAAGTACTTACTGGGTAACTGGAACTTAGTGAATTCTTCGGGTTGAACCAAACAATCAATGGCACTTCGTTGGAATGTTTTTGATAAGTCAGAAACCAGATGCCTGGAAGCAAAGGGATTTTTATAGGAGCCATGTCAAAATGATTTACACTAATCACAAAGCTTAATATAGAAGCATGAATTTGCATTCATTGTATCTAAGCCAAGCAAGGACAGAAAATAGTTTTGATGAAGGCTTTTCGTGTAAACCATTTTATGTTATAAATTATGACAAAAAGTATATCTATGATTAAAATTGGTACATATAAAACTATGTTTACTTCAGTACGATAGGTATATACTGATTACTCATAATTTAGGGAGACGTAGATACCATATTGTCTTTTTGCGAAAAATATATCAATAACTGATTAATCACACTGTGCAGAAGACAAAGGGACATCGAGTTTCTTCGATTGATAAAATAAACTGATGAGATCACTTTTATCTCAATAATATAAAATTACAGGTTGCAAGAAATGAATATGACACAATCTGCACAATTAAGCACTCTTCAGAATGGCACCTTGTGGAGGAAAGACAGTCAACTTGCTACAACAAACAATACACTTAATCGCATCAACACTGTTATGTCCAAATCATGCCTTCTAATATGTTAAACTCCTAGGGGCACATTTTCTGAGGCTTTGAAATACTTAGTTTTTACTAAAGAACCTTAGTACTGTCTTTACCTGCCAGTTCCTGGCTAAGCAAATGAACTCCTGTTCTAGTAACAATATACACCTCTAGATTCTCACTGATTTAAAATTATAAACAAAATTTTGGTCTGCTTATCAGTGCTATAAATCCATATAAAAAACTGTAACTTGCTACCTTGTTTATAGACAATATTGTTGGTGACAGAAGGAGATGAAATAAAACGAGAGATAATCTAGAAGCAGTACAAAATGCATAATTTTCCGTAGAATGAACCTTTTTTTGAAAATATATATTTTTGGCAACATACTTGTTTAGCTCTTGTTTGCTATTCCAGATTTCAAAAACCGCAAAACCTTTTGATTCTTTGTCCATTCTTACAGACAGCCTGAAAAAATCAAAATAGTTTTTAATGATGTTTTAGTAGAGAGGGAACCACTATATAAAGTGGCTTGGAAAAAGTAAACATTTTAAGACATACTAAAAGATACCACTCATATTATATAATCAGAAAACCAATAAAAGGTATCAACTAAAATAAGTTCATATCGCAAAGATTGCTGCGGATGAAAACTTTGTAGGCCGTGGAAAATGTTACGTATGCACAGCAAAGCATTGATTCTCGACGTTTTGCTCAATATATACTGTATATGAACTAATAGATAATAAAAAATGGTATGCCTACATTTGCCTGATGATCACATCAAGCATGAACTCAGAGTAGCAGCTTGAAACCATTATTTTATATACACCAAAATGATCGCCTAAATTAATGTATTTTTACTGCTGTTTGCTCTTCTTGAATTTCACTCATGAGGCTTGATGCCGTGAAACAAAGAATACGTGTAGATTCAAATAGAAGAAAGGAGAATCGATGCGACAAAAAATGATTTCTCCAGCCTCAATCAGACGGACAATGAAAATATTTGTTGAAGCAGAAATTTATTGTAAAATTTATTGACTGATTATTGGAGTAGTGTGGCATCTGCAATGATATGATAGTTTTTTAAGAAATAACATGCAAACAAAGCACTCATGTAACATAAGTATAAAATTCAAATTCCTGAATTAAGTGCTAAAATTAATAACAACTTACACAATAAAAGTACGAAAATGAATGACATACCCTGAGCAGTTGTCATTTTTTCTAGTTCCAATAACATATTCTCGCAATATTTGCTTAAATTCTTCATATTTTGAGCCATCAATCTCAAATTTATGACAGACAATTTCCAACTAAAAAATTGATTTTCAAAACAATGAGTACCTAACATATCATAGAGAAAGCAAAGAACAACATGACAGCAAAACTTGTAACAGAGATTACATTCGCTTGCAATTTGCACAAAACAATTTACGCTATTTTTCTTACCAAATCATTTTGCGCTGCAATTTCTTCTTCCACAACGTCCAAAGATACCTTGCAAAATAAATTGAATTAAATAAAAAATCGAGAAAAGATGGAAAAACAATTCATGACTGGGAAAGTAAATTGCCTTGAAATTTTTTTTAGAAAGTAGTAGAAACGCAATAATTCAGGAAGAAAACTGTGAAACACAAGTTTAAAAATAGAGAAAAGCAAATTGTTGGTGGCAATTTGGGTCAAATATTTTTTCAATAACTTTTTCCCTCAAGCGATGATACCAAATCCCTGACAGCAATACTGGTTATTCAGACAGCATATACGTTCCAGCATAACTCGAGATGTGAATAGAAATTAGCATATCAACATTGCGATTAGGGGCTGCGGAGGCTATACTTTTAACTTGATTCTATTTTTACGATTGTAGTTTTTGAGGTTACGACATAAACGAGGAGGAATTCAAATCTTTCCGAACACCACGGGAAATTTGTTGAGTAATCGAAAGTTTTCTAAAAGGACTGCGTCACGTGCAAGGCTGTGGGACAATGTTGTTGTGCTGACGCTTGTGGATGGATGAATCCATCACAGCAACTGAAGTGACAATTAGTAGGACAGAGAATCGCAGCGCATCGAGAAGATTTTAACTTCTTTTGCTACTAAAAAATCATTTTGTAATTGACAAAGCCGTTTGTACTTCAGTGGGAACACAAAAAGTGAGCGTCCTAACGGGCTGTTTGGCCAAAGAGACAGCACAGAGACATCTGTCTGTTGAACGATTAGTAAACAATGCTGAAAGCGATAGTTTAAGAATAAATCAAACTTGGCAGCATTGCTGTGAGCAACAAGAATTCACGGCCTGCCATTCTGTCAAATTTTTTTACCGTAACTAAGAGCTAACAAAACGGTTTTTTCATCAGCTGATTTTCAGTAGCTAAGAATTGATACGCCAAAAATAAGTGTTGCAGTACCTTGCCTTACCCTTCAGATTACTTAATAAATAAAAACAATGTACGAAATAACAAAACTGATAAGAATTGTATGAGGAATTCGTCAAGATGATGAGTATAAGTGTCCTTGTTCACACCACAACCAGATAACGACCATCTAGACAGCATGAGCATTTGCTCTACTTGGGCAACATCTTAGTTCAATCAAAAATTCTAAGTTAGGCACCAAAATTCTTTTTTTGCTGCATATGTCAAAACATCCTCATTTTAGCAAAAATTTCAGATGTTCTCACCTTGTCATCGAATTTTCCAAGCGTTTCCAGTTTATCAATCAACTCGGAAAGGCGATTGACTTCATTTTCGAGGAAGAGGCCAGACGTTCCTACAACAACGTATTAATGACAGTAAGTAAGGAATTATAAGAAAAACCCAACATTAAACAATAAAAAGCAATTAAAACTTGGCTATATACACAAAAAGAAATTGAATCTAGAGGCTGAAGTCATCAAAATATTCTTGCCATAAAGCCTGTATTTAGCAATCTGGACTTGATGAAGGGCACGTCTAATAATTAAAGGCTAAAACATTAGATTGATAATCATAGTTTGGCATTAAAATATTTCTAATAGCACGTACACAGAACTGGTATACTTATTCATTTAGGACTAAAATGAAACCTTCTGCAAAAGTATCACACCTAAAAAATTGGTAAAACAAAGTTACCCTTTACAGACTTCCTAAAAGTAAGATAACTTGCTACATTTCAATGACGAAAAAGACAAATGAGGCTGAAAAGTCACCTGGAAAACTTGTTTGCTGCTGATAACTTGCCATGCGCCTCATTGCTCTACGCTGTTTCACTGAGCTCTGGGTTTGGTCGGTATCAGCAGGTCTTGGAGTAGATCTATGAATAACGAATGAAAAACCATATACATTGATGTCAGACTATGTCAAAATATCACATATATTACAGTATTAATTTAGTGTGCCTCTGCTTGAAATATGCAAACCCTCTTTTTTTAAAGCGACTATTAATTTAGTATTCTTCTTAAGCATACGAATGAAATTGAATTGAATTGGTTTGAATTGACTGTTGCTGTCTGTACTGACTGTTGCTAATGCAACAGCGATCTAGCAAATTGACGTAAAAAGGCACACAACAGATTGAATGCACATAGGTGCAAATCTGCAAGCGCCTTTCGTATGCCATCCAACTGCAACACAGCTTTTATTGACAATTGTTTATATACCAGCTCATCCTATCATAGCACACGCTGAAACGCTAGAATAATTTGAAGGGGAGTGGTTTGCAAGGGGAAATATTTCGATCTGTATTTAAATATAATTGCAAAACTATTCTGAGTTATATAAAGATGAAAGAGAAATGTATCAGCAACTTGGAAGAATGAATGAATGAATGAATGAATGAATGAATAGATGAATGAATGAATGAATGAATGAATGAATGAATGAATAAATGAATGAATGAATGAATGAATGAATGAACGAATAAATGAATGAATGAATGAAGGAACTGATTGATGAATGAATGAATGATTATAATTATGTACGTATATATACATATACCGTAATTCCTCGAATTGCCCCCCCCCCCGCAAAAAAGCCATCCCCCCGTATAACCCCCTCTCGAACAAGCTCCCATCCAAAAATATCAAAAATAAATAAGCCCCCAGGGAACTAATTCGAGGACTTACGGTAGTGAAAAAACAGGTTTGCAGCAAAAATTAAGTCAACTTAAATGATATTAACCTGTTCTTCCTTTCATCATCATCTATACTCTCTGAAGCAGTTTCCAAGTGATGTTGAATAAATCCAAACATTCTTAGCACCTGTATCATGCAAAAACATTCTTTCTTAGCACCTGTATCAATTTTATCACAGTGCAACTATAATGTATCAAACATCTTTTAAGTCAACCGAAAATTGTTCAATACAAGATGCTAAATCGTTAAAAAAGATGTTTTTTGAAAAAAGATTGTTTGAAGATGTTTAATAATGATGACAATGTTGTTTGAAGATGATGACAAGAGTTAAATGTAAAGACATTTTGACGCACTGGAGCGACTACCTCAAGTATTCTTTCAAAGATACTTTTATGCAATGTCGTAACGGAGGTATATGGAGCCTTAAGGAAAAAGATATAGAGCTCCTCTTTACGGATGGCAAGGACGTCCCCTTTAATGTTGTAGAGCATGTCCAACACAATAGCAAGACATGAAAATGACAATTTTTCTCGTTAACTAAGGTAAGGGGAATCTTCTTCCAGAGTATATTGAACTTGAGCGAAGATGGATATAAAATCACTTGCGGCCCTAGACGGCGTTACGCCACTGCTTTCAAGGAGAACATTGATATGTCCGGAGATTTTGTGTAAAAACTTATAAGGAAAAGCTAGTGTACCAGATAAGCGAGTTAATAAACCTAGGATAGTTTTAAGGGAAAGATCACATACAATTGGATTAAAATCTGTGATAACGGTAGAAAAAAGGCATATTTTTAGTGAATACCTCGCGCAAGAGAAATCGAGTTGCAAACTTTTCTGTTTCCGAGCTTGATGGATATTTCTGCAAAAGAAAACAAAAGAAATTTGAAGATTTATTTGATAATACACAGGCATGCATCTAGAAACAAAGAAGTAGCCACGCAAGAAGATCACAAGAAAAAGGTTGCCTAGATTATCATCATGTCCGATGCAAAAGCATTCATCCGTCACTCAAGGTCGAAAAAACTGTTATGTGATGAGAAAAACTGACTGAAGAAGCTAAGTGTCGTAAACTAATAAGAAAGGGTGTGTTTTTGATACGATCGTGTCTGGAACCCTAACTACACTTTATTATGGTTGTGTCAATGGCTGCCGACACAATTCACACCCCTCTTCTACTGAAAGAGTCCACCCACCACCCAAACCCCCCCCCAACCCCCCCATAAATGGAGCGAGCTAGTAGGCCCTTAAGGCCACCCAAGATACGACGTCTTAGGATCTCTGAGCAATGGCGTTTGCAGCAAATGTAGAATTTTAAAACTAACCTCATGGCAGCTTTTCAGTGCTAGGGTGACAGAAGCCCCAATAATGTCCAAGGTTCCAAAAATCTCCGAAAAAGGTCCAAGATGTTTAGTGAAGAATTCTGTGAACAAATCACATAATCAATTCAACCTTTTTATATAGTCAGTTATAGCCAAAAAAATTGACAGAATGGATTGTGAAAAACCTCTGTCTTGTGGAAGTGAAGACAGACAGCTAGAATTTGTCGGTAAATTTAAAAGCATTTAAAAACCAAATGCCTATTTTCTTTGTACTGAAAACTAGTATTAGTTATATTTGAGTAGCATTGAAATAAAAGAATATAAAGACCTGCTTGTCTATGAAACAAATCTAAATCTTTGCTTGCTACTTTTTTCTTATTCGCTTAAAAAACAAGATCGTTACAGGACTTTATTAAAACAAAACTAAACTGATAGGACTAAAATTTATCTGTAAAAAAGTTATAGAGAATTCAATATCTTTTAACCTTGGCATAATCACTGATAAATATGAATTTTTATCCCCCCCCCCCTCCCTATCATTTCAGAAAATAGGCTAGCGACAAACACTTACATTGCTTTTGTTGTTGGACAAAGCACCTAGACGATGATTGTAGCTTTTATAGCAAAGAAGTAAGCCTTGAAGGCATCGAACTCGATTGTTTTACAAATCGAACAGCCGTAAGATATTCAGATAAGTGCAATAAACCATGAACGAATTAGAAATCAGGACCTTAACAATGCAAATGCTAAGAAAATTTGACAAATAATTCTAACAAACATCTTAAAATCAAAGAATACACTCACCAAAGAGCTCGCCAACATCCAAGTTACTGAAAAAAATTATAAAAATGGATAAGATATTTTGAAACAAAAAGACAACTGAGTCATTAAAATACTTTTAACAAGATAAATATACAATAATGGCATTTTCAGTTGTTACAATTTTTCAGAAAATACAAAAAGGTCAAATATTCAAAATAACATGTTACATATTACAGGTTGCAAATTTTACCCTTTTTTTATTAGAATTCTTGATCAGCAAAATAAAAGTTCTTGATCTCACAATTTTTTGTAAGATTTATGACCTTGTTTTGCAGTTGAGCGAGTCTTTTTCTTTTCTATCTTCTTTATTTTTTGTTTTTTCTTTATTTTTCTATACTTTTTCATCCCTTTCATTTCTTCCCTTGTTTTTCTTTCAGTTGTTACCTAGATTTGTTGTCTTAAAGTTTTTTTTCAATCTACTTCTAGTTAAACGTGAATTTCTAAGCGCGGGCTCTTAGCTCGATAGCCCTCTTATTAGTTTTTTCTAGGTGTCCCAAGTAGCCATTAATTATCATATTAATATTTTATATTAAAATTTCTTCTTATTCGATGTTAATTAATTCAATTTTTTATAGTATTTTATGTTGTGATTTTTTATAACGTTAGTTGATATCATAAATCGTTTATTGTAATTGTTGGTTGCTTGAATGAAACTTGATTAATTGATTCATTTATTGATGGAAGTGATTGATTGATTGAGTGATTGATTGACTGATTGATTGACTGTAATGATTGATTGTACCATTTATTATGAGCAAAAATAACATTAAAAATGAAATGGCAGCTATATATGGTGAAAAGGAAAACAATTACCCTGAATTGTGTGTATCAATTTCTTTGAAGAGCCGCTTCAAATCTTCGTCTGAGGATACCCCATCACTGAAAAATGCTTTGAATTCTTCCCAAGATAAAGCTCCGTCGTCTAAATAATTTAACAAAACTTTATAAGGATATCAATGGATACAAAAGGACTATCGCTACATTAATCTCAACACATAACTGACCATGATAAATTCAACGACCAGGAATTTCATACCCTTTACTTCTATTTTTGACATTCTATAAGTTGAAAATAGAGCAAAATCTCTTGAAAAAATTGCATATTATTCGAAAAGAAAAGAAAAGAATAGGCCCTTAAACCGGATGAAACTTGAAACAATAAAAAGGAAAATGGAATAGCAAACAAAGGCTCCTCGAAATAGACAAATTTACAAAAAAAAGTAAATGGATACAGAATATAATGACAGATGAAATAAATAACAAGCATATTTTGCAATGAAAAACTTAAACCGAATGCAGCGCTTCATCTTTCTTGATGAAATGTCAGAAATTGCAGCGAGCTTTCACATTTCGCTACATTTTAAAAATGCTATGTTTAATGCCCTATGTTTGTTGGGACTTATAATGTGCTATGTTTCCGCTTTTTCTTGCAATTGCAATGTGACAATGGGTAGAAAAAAGCATAGAAATTAGACTTCGAGACACCGAGGCATTCAATGCAAGATATTAACAGAGTGGTATTACGTTACCTTGCATAGAATACCAAATATACCAGGACCCGTGAAATAATTATTTGAATGCACATTTATCTTTCTCACACTTTTCTTTCACACATTTCTCATATAAATCTTTTTACTCAAATAATTATGTTTTCTTCACATTCTCAGTCTTGCGAAAAGCGAAAGAAAAGGAATGACTGACAAAAAGCGCAATAAAAAAACCTAAACTTTGCTATGTTTGCTTTTTATGGTCATTTTTTAGTTATTGAATGGAAAAGTTTTAACCTGGACGGACTAAACAGCTTAAATACAGCATATTTCTCATTTAGTGCAAATAGGTGAAATTAAATAATGATACAACAAATATTGTGATCCAAATACACAAAACTGATCGGCATTGGAAAACGATAAACGATAATGGTGGCGAGGAAGCATAGGACAAAGACACCATCTCCACGAAAGCGGCACTGTGCCATCGCACTGGAGCATCTCGGGAGTATTTGCTGGGTTTTCAAAGTTTCAAAGTTGGCATAAATCAAGTACCTAGTCCCACATAAAAATTACATCATAAACGTCATGTGCAGTCTTCCAAAATTGGTTTAGATGCTGCTCCCAAGTTCCAACAGGGTAACACACCGGAAAAGGATTTTGAGCGTATTTCTTCACATCCAACCCTATTATCTAACTTTTGATTTGAAATGAAAAGAAACATATTTGATTTAGAAGACATAAAAATGAAATTTATTTGCCTCCTTCCCAACTGAAAACAATGTATTTAAATCATTCGACAGATCTCAAGTGTTCTTAATTTTTGGGTGAGTTTTGAAATACCATCAAAATTTCCATGAGCACGCGGGGGTTCGGGCAATAAAAATATTTTATGCAAATATTTGAGTCAGAGTGTAGGAACTGTTTGAGACATAAAATTTCCGACAAAGGATTATTTAGATCCCCAAAATTTGACTAGTGAGTTTGGGACCATAGAAATCCTACATATTTGCATCGCTAAAATGGTTCGAAGTGGGTATCTTTTCCATGATTTCGTATCCTTGATTATGAAGGATAACACTTTATCGCGTCACACCATTCCCCAAGAATTGAACTAACTAAACATACGGTTAATCCAAGTCAGACGAATTAGAATTCGAAAAATCTAAAGAAATTTTGAAGACTGCCCCGTTTTCACATTTCTTTGCAACAAACCAGACTCTTCTATCAAATTAACAAAAAATAGCCAACGCCGAGTGGAAAAAAAGCACTCTCCTACTATCCTTTTTCTCTCCCCATCTCCCTCCCCAATAGCCTCTGTGGAGGAGAGTGGCAAGGTTGGGAAATTCCCTGAGTGAATTAATGGCAATAATTCGAAATTTGGGTGAAAAATCACATACCATATTGCACATTCATCATGACATTCATCATGACATTCATATATTTCATCATGTTGCTAAAGACTTTGCAAATTTAGCAAAATTGTCTCATGCTACATCACCTTGACCGCTGACCAGAAACTTCGCTGGTTGCTGATTTTTTACTTTGTGGGTGACAAATACAACCGGGCATTACATTGAATATTTTATAAACTTTATGAACATTTCATTTCTATCCATGTTAATTGAAGAATATAATTCGCTGTTTCTATAGAAATAAAAGATACGCTAGCTAGCAAAATTTTTAAGGAACATCCCAACTTCAGAACTTCATATCAAATAATGGAAGCGCTAAGAAAAGGAACTAGACCTGAGAAGAACCCAGGGACCGTAGAAGCGGGTTAAGGGGCTTAGCCCCTCTTATAGTTTCCAACATTTTCTTAAACCATGCAAAAATTACCTTACTTTTAGTTTTTAGCATGTTTTGCCCCCATTCACACCCCTACTTAAAATACTGTTTAGTTGCACTTGGAAGATCCTTGTCCTCACAAACACTTAATGAAGCTTCGATGATTCGACTGCCTTAATTCGAGCAAATTTGTTCCTTCATGGTTCTTCCTGTTTTAAGCTAAGTTTTTAAATCAATCCTTCGAATTTTATTTCCAAGGCTCTGTTGATCTTTGCTTTACTTGCATCCCCATTCTAAAAGAGCTTCAATAACACGGAAAAAATCCCACAACAAGCGCCCCCCTCCCTCCCCCCAAAAAAGTTACACTAAACACCGCAAGGTTGTAAAAAACTGAGGGTGTTCTAGAAGGCCTATTCTCAACAAAAAATGCATCATCATGTGAAAAAGCAGAACACTTCAATTTCGTCATATTCCTCAATACATCGAGAAAATGTAAACATTGCGTAATGCTATGTCATCATGAAAACGGCCGACCTGAATATTCGATTCTAATAAAAGTAAATTACGTCATTCGAATTAACTAGGTATGCCCCCCTTCTCAAAATACTGTTTAGTACCCTCTATCCGTAATATGCCCATTGTACTTGGAAGATCCTTTTCCTCACGAAGACTTTCGATAATTCGACTGCCTTAATTCGAGCAAATTTGTTCCTTCAAGGTTCTTCCTGTTTTAAGCCAAGTTTTTTTAAATCAATCCTTCGAATTTTATTTCCAAGGCTCTGTGGATCTTTGCTTTACTTGCATCCCCATTCTAAAAGAGCTTCAATAACACGGAAAAAATCCCACAACAAGCGCCCCCCTCCCTCCCCCCAAAAAAGTTACACTAAACACCGCAAGGTTGTAAAAAACTGAGGGTGTTCTAGAAGGCCTATTCTCAACAAAAAATGCATCATCATGTGAAAAAGCAGAACACTTCAATTTCGTCATATTCCTCAATACATCGAGAAAATGTAAACATTGCGTAATGCTATGTCATCATGAAAACGGCCGACCTGAATATTCGATTCTAATAAAAGTAAATTACGTCATTCGAATTAACTAGGTATGCCCCCCCCCTTCTCAAAATACTGTTTAGTACCCTCTATCCGTAATATGCTCATTGTACTTGGAAGATCCTTGTCCTCACGAACACTTTCGATAATTCGACTGCCTTAATTCGAGCAAATTTTTTCCTTCATGGTTCTTCCTGTTTTAAGCCAAGTTTTTAAATCAATCCTTCGAATTTTATTTTCAAGGCTCTGTTGATCTTTGCTTTACTTGCATCCCCATTCTAAAAGAGCTTCAATAACACGGAAATAATCCCACAACAAACGCCCGCTTCCTTCCCCCCCCTCCAAAAAAAAGTTACACAAAACACCGCAAGGTTGTAAAAAACTGAGGGTATTCGAGAAGGCCTATTCTCAACAAAAAATGCATCATCATGTGATGAAGCAGAACACTTCAATTTCGTCATATTCCTCAATACATCGAGAAAATGGAAACATTGCGTAATGCTATCTCATCATGAAAACGGCCGACCAGCAGATTCGTTTCTAATAATAGCAAATTACGTCATTCAAATAAACTACGCATGCTCATAAATACCAAAACAAAGGTTTCATCGATGGAATGGCCTAGATGCAGTGTCACGGTGAAAGGGGCAGTTTCAAAATAAATAAATCAGCGAAAATTTTCAAGCAGCAACATTCACTTTCAGTGAGAGCTGGCAAGACGTTGAAACTATACACAGAAGAGAAAATCTACTATGGCTGTTTCTGTCAAGGCATACTTGAACTTTGAGCATCCAAATCAAGAGATTCGAAGATTTTCGATCTCGGAAGATGTTAGCAGCAGCTTTGAATATTTGACACAGAAAATTCGCCATGTGTATCCATCACTGTTAAGAAAAGACTTCACATTGTACTGGAGAGGTAAGAGAACCCGATTTTTTACACTCGAAATATTTAAATCGGCAAAGGCTGTTTTTTCTGTCTTGGTTTGACCTTGCATATATACAGCCACTCTGACTGCCCCAACTTTCATCTTTAAATGTACTTTAACAGTGGCTGTAATTTTGTTTTGCCTTTTCAGACGAAGATCAAGAGTTTGTGGCATTTTCCAGTGACGAAGAGCTTGTGATTGCTCTTGGGAGCTCTCGTGAAGATGGTAGCTTCAAGGTTTTCATCGAAGGTTCGTTGAGTATTTTTTGTTATACCAGCGTAAACATGATTGCGAATTTAATAAAACAAATAAGCTTTCCCCCTTTTAATTCTATCTACAGACACATGGTTGTAGACTTTAAACGATGTTCTTTCGTTGCCCTTAAAATACATTATTTTTTTATTGTAATTAGCTTAATGGCTATGTTTTCCTTGAAATCATTTCAATGAGAAAGTATACTTGGGCATTTGAATATCAGTTCATTCAGAAAAGCGTTTTTTAACGAGGGTTTAGTAAAATTGATAGTAGCATTTGTAAATTTTTCAAGGTACATAATCATTTTGTATCAATTTTCAGTCGTTAAGTGGTAATTGCAGTCATTTGATTGCAAAATCTCCCCTAGTTGTGATATAATGGCAATCATAAAAAATATTCTAGTTGCCTAAAAAAAGTTTCCCTTCATTTTTTGCAGAAAAGGTTAAAGGAGATTCAACTGACGGTTTGACTGGGGATGCAAAAACAAAGCATCCTGGTGTCATTTGTGATGTTTGTGATAAGGAGATAGTTGGAACTCGTTTTAAATGCTTGTCATGCCCAGACTATGACCTTTGCAGTGGCTGTGAGGGTAAAGGATTCCATCCAGAGCATGAAATGCTACGTATACGAACACCACAAAGACACCCTTGGCAAGGATTTTGGCACATGATGTTTGCCCCTCGAGGTGGTCACCCTAGAGGCAGAGGCTGTCATAGCCGAGGAAGGCCAGACCCAAGGCCATATTGTCATCCACCTCCACATCATTTTGGTCCTCGAGGAAGTGGTGGCTGCAGACGTGGTTTTGGAGGTCCATTTGGTCCCCCATTTGGTACATTCCCTGAATGCCCTAAAAAGGCCAAGGGTGAACAGAAAGCAAGTGAAGCAAGCCAACAAGAGCCTGCTGACAATGGCCAAAACCAAGGCTACCCTTCCTTTCAGGAAGTCTTTGATGATGTGTCACAAGTAGTGAGACAGTTCATGGATCCAGGTACCAAATTACAGTTAAATTTCATAAATTCATATTTTCACTTATTGCATTGCAGGCAATGATGTCAGCACTTAATCAAAAATTTTATTTGAAATAGATGTCTTAAAGATTTGATGGGTTCATTTTACATCAATAAGTCTTGAAGATTCTCAAATTCCAAAGCTTTTGAATTGATCTCCAGACTTAAATTTCTTCTTAAACATAAACAGCTTAGAAATCATGGCATATTTGAAACATCAATGTCTAATGCAATTTATGAGAAGAAGTAAACAAGACAAAAATTTAAAATGAAATATAATCTAAGTCAGTAATGAAAACCTTGTGAGATTGCCTTTAGCTTTGTTGCTTTGAAACAATATTGAAACACAATTAACACAGTGAGTAAATGGTAGCTTGTGAATCTAGTTAAAGATAATGAAAGATTAAATTCCTTCTTATAGAAAATTATGCAACATGGGATCGTGAGCAACCACCTTGTGACCCTGAAAAATCAGCTGAAAAGGAGACTGCAGAAGGCAAGGAACAGCCAGGGGAAAGTGAAAAGGAGACTGCAGAAGGCAAGGAACAGCCAGGGGAAAGTGATGAAGAGAAGAAAGATGCAGATGATACTCCAATGGTAAATTTCATCACAGTCTTTTGAAAATATATTATGATCTACACTTGCATGTTTCATCTCTTATGAATAACTTGTAGACAATTTCTGCAAGCAATATCTATTTGTAAACTTTAAATCCACTAATTTTACCTCTTTTTTGCAGCAAACTGAATCATTTGTTGTTTTGAACAAAGAGAGTGATGCAGAAAAAGAAGCAGATAAACAAAAAAGTGAAGAAAATGTGTCCCAAAGACGTGCTGAAGTAGAAGAGTTTGAAAGAAGGCTCAATGAAGCTATTTCTCAGATGGAAACAATGGGATTTAACAATGAAAATGGATGGCTTGGACAATTGCTCATTGCCAAAGATTTTGATATTGGAAGAGTTATTGATACATTGCAGTCAAAACAGAACTAATGGGCATTGGACCCTCAAATTATTTGCATGCCTACTATTATTATAACAGACAAATTATATATGCTTAAAATTACATAACAAAAAAGATTGAGTATCTGTTGATGTAGCACTTGTAAGTTGATGTTATCTTGAGAGATGTAAAAGTCTTGATAGAATAAAACGTAATGTACTTAGATATTTGTTTTTGATCACTAGTTTGAAAATTTGCAACATTGTTAAAAAAATTTTTTTTTGAGTTTTCATCTCAGTTGACAAGCAAATCTCTGCACCAATTTTTATGTTAAAACATATTTTGATGAATATTTGGCATCCATAGATTCCACCTATGCATTATGTTATGCTATCAATTCATGAATTACAGTGCTGATTATCACAAAGTTCAAAAAAGCTGTTATAAAAGGATTATAACTATAATTTTTGTGCCTTTAGTCTTTGATATAGAAAACAAATTGTTGAACTGTGAACAGACAGTTTTGATTAAGATCTCCCCCCCCCCAGGTTTAATATCTATATCTCTACTTTTAATAGCATGTTCCCCTATATGAATGAGAAAGTGGGCATTTATTTATCCATAACTTCATAATATGCTCACCATTCTTGTCAGCTCTTCTGAAAACCTGCAACAAAAATCAAAATTAAAGGTTTTTCCAAGAATGGCCTGTATCTTGTCTTTTCAAAAAGTGTGGCTTCAACTTGAGGGTGGGCGATGTTCCCTCAAAATATATTTGATTTGAAAAAGTACAAATACTTCAAGAATATATTCAGGCTCATGACAGAAATTTTTTAAGAACATTGAGGCTGGAATTCTTATTCTTATCTAGTTTGCAGAGTATGGTCATTTTTGACAAGATCTTGGGCATCCCAACAGCCCTGCAACTCAGGTTGCAAATACGCAATTATTAACAAAAAACGCTAGATGTGCCAAAACTATGAACTTTTTCAGATTTGAACTGAATAAAGCTAGTTTTTAGGTGCACCATCAACAAAACTATGTTTGCATCTTGGATGCACCATCACCATGCTTCATATCCGGGTTTCTTATAAAAAAACTGTAATGCATCCATCAGTCTCAGTTCTAACAAATTTTCTCTTTCAAGTTTCTAACTAGTTTCTCTGTTGTTTTTGAAAGAAATTTTGATTATATGTAATTGCTTGTTTAATGCTGAAAAATTTTGAGTTTGAGCCAATTAGTCGCATTTGAACAAAGATCCAAACAGAAAAGCTAGGCAGGTTTTCCATTTACAAAACAGTAATAAAAATAAGCCTCTATAACTATAACTATAACTGTGCTAAAGGCTAGGAGCCTGTCACAGATCTTTGGGGTGACATCACTCTAGACAGAACATTGTACTAACATACCACTCATGTCAAGCCAAATCTAAATAATAACAAGTTTGTTCCCTCCATAAATAAGTCCCCAGAACTTGAAATCGACGAGCCATGCTTGTTTTTCATTGAAGTTATGTACAAAGAATCTAAAGACATCTGTCTTTATGGATATAAGGCTAGATAAATTCCACCCCAATTAATAGAGAGCTGTAGGAATGTTATAGCCGCTGTTTGTATTTTCGAATTCCCTTGCCTAGTTATTAGAAATTCTTCAACAGACAGTTGCATTTCCCTTACCTTACCGCTTCAGCTCAAAAACTATAAAAATTGGTAGCTACTTTTGATATTCTTGCTTCTAACATATTCAAATGGAAAGACCTAAATATACATACATCTTGGAAAATGTTTCGCTTGTCCGCACCTCCTTCCTGTCTTGCTGCCATTTTCTGTGGTAACCGAACGAAAAGACCAAGTTGAGCACAACAACAACAACAATTTCCTGCTTTGAGGGGATTACCACGCCCACAGAAATGGTTAATTTTAGCATACAGTTTCCTATAAAAGTACCTCCTTATATACCGGCTTTCACTGTTCCGTATAACTTCAAACTGTACCGTATAACTTCAAGGGCGTTTATTTGGTTGGAGATGGTGTTTAGACTAAAAAGAGCGGGCCTTTTTATACGAACTTTCAAGAAGGGTACCAGTAAAATAATACATAACTAACATAGTTGATTTTTGCTTACAATTTGTTGCATTTTTTAGAATAAGGACAGTATTAGACTTTAGAATAAAGAGCCCTTGATTGCAAGTGAGAGGGTTGGCTGGGCATGAATTAAAATAGAATCTTTTGCTAATTAGCCACTGCACACAGAAAGATGTTTCAAACATATTGGAACATCGAAGACTGACCTGCTCAAGTATTCATTAAGTTTTCTATTTGGATGCTATATTCATGTATTTTGTTGTGTGATTTTTTCTCACAAAAGAGTTTCATCATGGTAGTACAGTTCCACTTATCACTGCGCAAATCACTAATAAAGATCTTACTACTTTAAGTAGATATAACAATGTATGTTATAGGAAAAAACGATTCAGCTATTGTTTCCTATAGATTTGAAAGATTGTGGGCCGCGGGGAGATGGTCCCCACCTTTTTGCAAAATGATAGAGCATTTTTAAAATCTTTTGTCATCGGTGTTAAATTTTCCCTTTGCCCCTTCCCGCTTAACAACCTGTGTCAGAGCCTATGGACGAGTCAGAAAATGGTCGAATTGGCGACAGGCTTGAGGAAAATAGACAGTGTAAGCGAAGAATCTGGAGAATTTGGAGATGTGACGAGACAAAATTAGGGCAAGCAGCACTGATTTGTGTTTTGAAAAGCGCAACGTGTTACTGTTACATTGAGTTAAAACATGGTCATGGCCCTCTCGCTATGTGGAAAGCATTTGTTATATACAACTAGTTTTGCCTGTCTTTTTGTATTAAGTTGTGTTTCAAGGGTGTGTTTGTCAAGTGATATCCTTGCTTGTACCCTTATTCGTAAATTCAGTCTACTACAGTTACCTTGTCGTGAAGTTGTTATTGAAGAGTCACCGAATATTTGTAGTATCAGGTTTTGTTAGATGGTCTTTTTTGTTACAGTATATCTGCCGTTGTAATGAAAGATTTTCTATTTTGTTTTCTATTTCGTGTATAAGTTTTATCGCCAGTAAGAAGATATTTGATCACTGGAAAGATCAAAGAAGATTGTGACATATTTGGTTTCTTTTCTCTGCTCGTCCTAACCTGTAAAACAATGTAGTTTTATACATTGCCTCAATCAATTTGTTCTTCGTCTTTTTTTTAATAAAAAAAAGCTGTTAAATTTATCATATGTAAGCAAATGATTTGTCAGTAGAATTGAATTAGTGTGACAAGGAGGAGGAATGAATTGAGGTCAATATGCACTATTTATGAGTGAACTTTTAATTTCAGCTAAGCAGAAATAACTAAGAGCAGAATTTTTTTTTAATTCTTGACAAAACAAAAGCTATTTATTACGGATCAGATTGGCTTCCGAGCGAAAGTGACATGGAGTCTTTTCTTGGACCTTACCAAATCGTTTGAGCGGCGGACCAACGTTTTCTTCTTGCAAAAATGGAGACTTGCCGTTTCAAGGGACATGAGTTGAGCTGGTTTCAGTCGTACATTACAGATCGTCAAAAATTTTTCTCTCTAAATGAATCAACTGCCTGGAATTTGACAGTATGGCGTAAAATACTTCAGGGATTCAACTTAGGCCCACTGCTTTTTATTCTGTATTTAAATTATTTTGAGAACTGTACTCTTAAGTTACGCCTTAGCATGTATGCTGATGATACGAACGTCCCAATGGCGTCTGAAGATTTCGAATAAAAATTTGAAATTATCTAGGAGATTAAGTAAACTTGTACTAGGAAAAATAACAAATTCATTAACGACGTTTCGAGCATAGCCAGTTTTCAAGGAATTCCAACATATTTGAAATTATATCTTTAGAAATTATAGAAATGCAAATTGTCTAAAGCAAAATAAGCTCAGTGTCCATACCGACACAAGACAAACATTATTTTTCCTTCATTTAAGTGAAAAGCGAAAGAAAACTTATCGAGCCGGTAATGAGCTATTTATATATTATTTCCTTACAAATTTATTTAAAAACTGTTTAAATTAAAAAGTAGCCTAAGGAATGTTGTCCATAAATGTTATTTAATGAAACTAACAATGAAGAAGGGTATCAGCCATTGCTACTTGATCAACACAAAAAATACTGCACTTGCCAAGTTTATAGGTGTCATTACCACCCAACATTCTAGAACGTTTACCAAAAAAATGATAAGTTGGCTAAAAGAGCTAAGTCTTATATGCATATATATTCAAAAAACAAAAATAGGCCCAAAAATACTAAATTTTTTCAAACGAATGCAAGGAATGACTGCAAGAGATTTACTGAAATGAATTTTAAGCTCTAGGCTCTAGTCATATCTTTGATGCTACAACATTAATATCATACTTCAGTAAAAAGGTGAGAGGGCTACAGCCCCCAGCACCCTTCCCCATCTCCTCCATGTCTGGAAGAGCCACAAAGAGATACGCTCATTAACCTTGCATGTATGTGTATGTATGTACATTATTTGAAATTCATTAAAATTCTTTCAAATTGGCTAGGGTATGGTAACATGAACACAGGCCCTTCCCCAAACGAATCACTATCTAGGGATGGCGCTAAAGGGGGGCCATGGGGGGAGTTCCCCCAAAGTTTCCAATGACACCCCGTCGGCAGCTCAATGTGATTAAGAAAAAGAGAACTGCCGGAACTTTGAAACTGTAGAATGAGGAATTCACATTTTTATAAGAACCATTAAATTGAAGTTTCAGACTTTCAGAAGCATTTGACTTTCAGAAAAACCATTATAACTATGAGGCAGGATTGTTCTTAATTTGTTCTTAAATCGTAAGGGTGTGAGCAGTGCAATTGCTAAATATTGTGCTTAAAGGGGAGTGTTCAGGCTCCATTTGCAAAAAAATTGAAAATTCAGCGTCAAAGCACCCCTAGTTGGGAAAACTTTCTTCAGAATTACATTTCAAAGCACCTCAGCCTTAGCTTGTTCTTAATCTCTTGACCAATTTGAATCATTTAAAATGAACAAATTTGGAGTCTCGTGTTCTCATAAAATTGTTCTTGTGAGAAATGTTCTATCAAAAATTGCCGCCCAATTCCGTGAAAACTGCCCCCCCCCCTACCTGGACTAACCCCGTACGCCTTTAAACATAGTGGTTTGGTTTCTAGCGCCACCCCTGTCTCTAAACATGAATGAGCCAGACCTAAACAACATTCATTCATTAGCAAAAGTTAGTCATTTTATATTTTCGACAAATTGCGACAAGTTTTGTCATTCATTCCGAATACATGTTTTATGTATAAAGGTGCTGTGCTATCAAAATGTCAAGGGCAAAATAACTTGCGCAAAATGTTGCAAAAAGCAATTGCAAAAGTATAAATTGTCTACTTTTTCACATTAACAAGGGGCTCAGCCCCCTGAGCCCCCTAGCAATAAACCCCTGATTTTATGAAATAACATTTCAGTTCTTGTTTGTTTTGAAAAAAAGAAAGATAACATCTGTTTTCATTTGAAGGTCTGGTAACTACTCAGCCCGCAAAGGTAGTCGGGAAGTAAACAAAAATAATTTTGCGTCACACACTTGCATTGCGACAGAAGAAAACAAGGGTTGAAGTTGTAGTGCAATTTGCATCATATTTTGGAAGCAAAAGGAGTAAAGTTTCAATTTTTTCACAATTAACTACCACAATGAAGTGGGCATTTAAAGAGGAGCATTCCTTGGGTAAATATTTATACACATTTAAGTGACAGAGATTTCAATCTGCAAGATGTCGATCAATTAGGCCCGTTTAACGCACCTACTGTGCTTGGCTTGGGTTCAAATTTCGTTTAGGTATTATAGTCCAGCGGTTTTGATAATGGGCGTCCATTGTTTTTTAACTTTTAGACAGCAGATGCCAGGAGTCATCGAAAATAAGGAATAAATATCCAGACAGAATTCCGGTGAGATGTCTATCTTTAAAAGTTTTATTTAATGTTATGGTCGTTAAAATTTGAATCCCTTGATCTTGGAAGACACCTCTACAAGCACGGACGCATCTCCACCTCTTCGGTAATTTCTTCAAGTCATGTCCACTGTTAATCTAATAGGATGTTGGGCTCGAAAACCATTTCAGTTATTTTTCGGTGTCATATAGGCAGCTTAATCTTTATTTTTGCCCACTTTGTCGTAATTTGTTTTCAGATTACTTAGCTGTTTTACTGTATTCGTGTCAATTGTCAATGCTTCTCAATGAAAATGAGTTTCAGTATAATTCCTTGCATTTCAATAAACAGGCACAGATTTAGCATCTTAATGAACTGCTAATAAGAAATTGATCCGTTGAAAGTACTTTGAACTAATGCTTCTTTCTGTATGATAAAATTTGCTTATGTTGCAGAATTAAGCAGCTGAAATGAGTATCCTTTTGTTTATTGTAGATAGGGTATGCTTGATGTTGTGTAGCAATAGTATTTCAACTTTATCATTTCTATTGGGCTATTCTTTGAGTCTTTCATATAATTATTTCTCATCTGTCATTTTTAATGCAGAAACCAAATGTTTTCTTTTTTAATGACTAAACAATGTGTATACCTATATCTAAATAATGACATACAATGAGTAAATGAATTAAGTGTATACTTAAGTGAAAAAGAATGTTAAATTATTAGCATATCATCACAATCAAGTACTACACACAGCTAGACATATTTTATTGGATACCTATATCTACATTGTAAGATTTTAAAGGAATAAATGAGTTTGAATATCAGGTCATAATATAATGAAAGGTATGAAACAAATTTTCAACTTTTTGTGTAGGTTGTTGTGGAAAAGGCTCCAAGGTCAACTATTCAAGATATTGATAAGAGAAAATTTCTGGTCCCTGCAGACCTCACAGGTAAAAAACTTACAGAAAAAAGTTTAGCTATTCCAGCTCATTAAATGAATAATTGTTGTCCCTAAATTTCTATTTGTATTCTATTTATTTCATATTATACTGGAAGAAGATAAGAGTAATGCCATAACACCAGGACAAGATTTGAACTGCAACTAGGGCTGTCCAAACCTTCGGGTTTTCCTATTCGGTTATTTGGTTTAAAATTTAACAAATATTCGGTTATTCAGTGAATATGGGTCTGGCAAAATGGATGTGGCAGGGTGGGGGTCAAAAACTGCAATCTGAAAAACTTACTGTAATTTGATGAAAATAACTAACAGCTAATCAGTCATAATTATTTGATAAGTCAGACATTGGCTTGTAACAAAATATTCGCTTGTAGCCAAATATTTGCTTGTAGCCAAATGTTCACTTTGTGCTTCAGCTAACCGAATAGTGAAACAGGTAACCAAATGCTGACTATTCAACCTTTGGTGGACAGGCCTAACTGCAACCAGTGACACTGTTGTTGCTCTACAAACTGAACAACCTAGTGACCAGTGGCGGACACCTGGGGGTGAGGGGGCGGTCACCCTCAATATTCTGGAAAACAATGGTATTTTGTTCTAAAATGATGGGATAATAAGGCATCATCTTATCATAACAAAAGGCTTGCCCCCCCCCATTATCTGACCAAATATCTGCCTTTGCTAATGACATATGCCTGTAGTGTTTGAGAATGATCCCCAATTATGACATGTTTTAGAGTTTATAGAGGCTAACTAAAAAACTACTTGGATGTGGGATTTATCAGATAAATCTGATCTTGTGTCAATTATTTTAAGAAGATAAATGTTTAGAAGATGACCTTTAATCATGTGACCAAACTATAGCAATGTGACTGTCCAGACAATAGATCAAGCATGTTAATTGATATTGTTCTTCACACCTGGTTCTGTGTATAAACTATTCTCTGAAAAAGATAAAAGCCAAAATCTTACTTTTTGAAAATAAAAGATTTCCAAAGATTTTTCCAAAGAATGTTTTTTAACACAAAATAAATGTCTTTGTGTCCAGGCCAACTATATCTATCATTTTACTTTTGACATTGAAAACATCACAAAAGTTTTAATTTCAAGACTAAAAATGAGCCTGGTTATAAATATGCTAATTTTGTAACGTATTTAAATGTTACAAATCTCTTTTTAGTTGCTCAGTTCATGTACATCATAAGGAAAAGAATCCAACTGGCTCCTGAGAAGGCAATGTTTCTCTTTGTAAACAAAGTTTTGCCAGTCACCAGGTAAGGAGTATTTCCATGCTCACTTTAGCTTACATTCACCACATTAAACAAACATAGTTATATGAATTTTATTATGTACATGTGATCAAAGGGTATACAAAGCCTGCATCACACAAGTTACATCTAGGCAAAAGACCTTTCTTGACATTGAATTTTTACAATTCCAAATCAACAGAAAAGTACATCTGTTTTGCCTAGAGAAAAAAAGGTTAATATACATTCTCTCTAGTTGCCTTTTCTGTTCAATATCTCAATTGCTTCTCTTGAATATTACACTCTGGTATTTTTCTGTTGTATTAAATTTTGCTTGGCAGAGCTGGATAGTTTTTAAGTTCCCTGTAATGGTTTCCAAAGTTTTTAAATGAAAGATTAAAAAAATTTGGGCTATTACACTTTATATCAGTATCTTTGATATTATTTTTTATTGTGCATTGATTCTTTTTAGTGCAACAATGGGAGCTATTTATGATGAGCACAAAGACGAGGATGGATTTCTTTATATAGCATACAGTGGCGAGAACACCTTTGGAATGTAAAATGCACCAAAGGGTTCCAAAAACTTGAATTTCTTATGGATGATGTGAATTTGAAAATGCCTGTTATTAAGTAAATTATCAAGGAGCGGTGTTGCCTAATGAATTGGACCTTATTAATTTTAAGACTTTCAAAATAGAATTCAATCTGTTGCAAATAAGTTAGGTATACACTATGTTATCATAACATTGTACATTGAACAATGCAATTCCATTAATTTTTTTGAAAACATAATCTGTTTATATTATTATAGAGTATTAAAGAAAAACAGCTGTCAGAAATTTTTGGCATTACTTCATAGAATTGGTAGCCTTTTTTATTTTCAAATGCTAAACAAAATGGTTTTGTTGTAACACCCCTTGTGAAGGCTGCATTGTGCTTTTGCTGTGTATGTATTATCTAGTGGTTAGAGATACCAGAGACATAAAAAAATATAATTGCATTGTAATGGAAAATATGAAGAGTCATGTTTATGATGTCTTCGTTTCCTTAGATTGTCATGAAAATATTTATGATAAGCATTTGTTATTTGCAAGTACAGTAGCCAGTATATAACTTTATATACTAGAAGTCTGATATTCATCTTTTTAGTGGTAAATTAATAAAGACATGCAGGGTTCATTCTCAAACATCAGTTTTTCTCATGACATTATAAAGAAGTTCCTCCATTCTTAGATTGTTTACAAAGATTGTAAAGGTTTTCAGCATTATGAAAAACTTTTTGAGTAACCAAAATATTGACTTAAGCATGTGCCTGACAACAAGAAGCTAGGAAATAAAACAGTGAATCTGAGATCGAATCTTAACATTGATGCAGCAAACATTTTCCCCTTAATAATTGGCTAACATAAGAACATATGATAAGGTACTTTCCAAATAATCTTCAGAAGTAGTTATAAATAACATCAACTTGCTTCATCATCTATCATCAAAAAGCTGCCACTTGCTACACTCTCTCACTGGACATTAGGCCTTTGACAACTTGCTTATCATGATTTTGTTTACCTAGTTTGCAATCTTTCTAATATCGCCTATGAATTTACGATTTTTGAAGAGTTTTATGGTTTAATTCTCAGAATTTTGTTACTTTTGACCTCCTCACCCAAAAGAGCATGACGGAATACCACTAAGATAACTTAAGATAAACCTATTTAGATAAAACAATAATGGAATTTGATGAAACTTGTGGGTTACTATTATTGGCTTGGTTGATAGAATTCAGAAACAAGACAAAAGAATAGTGAATTTTGCAGGGAAAGCCCCTTTGCACGTATGGCTTTATGATTGGCTAATATTCTTCCTGTCATAACAGATTACGCTGCTCGCTTAGACTGGCCTAGCTGCGGTAGTGAAAGGTATTTGAAACTGCGGGCAAAAAGCTATTGAAAATCGCAAGATTTAATTACTAGAATTTAATGATGATAATGGAAGCATTTCCTTTCGCTGTTAACATATCTGTCGCACAAACCAAACAGGGGATGGAAATTTTCTAGCCACAGCTTCACTTCAACAGGAACATCGCCATTTGATTCAAAAGTTTTGGAATCAAAGTTCTCTCTGATTGGTTTAAATCGTTTAATTATTGATGAAGCTCAACAGTGTGTGAATTTCACTCTCGTGAAAATAAAGTTGAGCAGAATAGGGAACAGAGTTTAACAGAATTTACACATTTAAAATTAATTTTCATAATGCTCTTTCAGGTTGATACCTCAGATTGGACATGCCTTGGTAAAGAGAGGCAGTCACATTTTTTCAGACTTAAAAACACATGTTGGGCAATACTAGATGCATTTGATAAAAAACCTTCAAAATCGCATTCTGATATTTATTGAATACCTTCAAAATGAAAAGACTATGTCTTCGTGTTAGAAACTTCATGGTATTTAAATCAAGATTGTATTATTTATATTCTGTCTAGTTTTTGCAGCTGATAAGCAAATATGCTTGTATTTCTTCAAATAACTCAAACAGACAAAAACAGGCATAATTTCCAATAAAAATTACTGTTTGTTGGTCTGTCATTAGAACAGGATGATTTTAGGTTGCAACTTTTGATATTGCAGCTTGGCAATAGGCATAGCAACCAATCAAATTAATCAAGTTACCAAAAGAGAGAAATAAACTGCTTGACATTTTCTGTCTCCAGCTTTCTTTGAAATGTAGCAAATATTCCAAAAATATATGTTGTTATAAAGAATAGGAATTACCCAAAGATAAGGCTCTGAAGTTCTTAGTCAACTCAGATTATGATATAAATATGTCTTTGAATGTTTGTAGCTTTGTTCAGTAGTTAGCTTACTGAAACATCTCATCTTGTAACGGTTTTGACATCCAGTCAGGGAATACTTCAAAAAATCTGCTTCTTGTCAGCTGATAATCTTGGTCAGATAGTTTTGCATTGTGATAATTTTTTAATGCCAAATCACTAAAGGTAAAATCAAAGAATTTTATAGGAACATTTGGATCAGAAAATCTAGATATTTCAAAAATTCCTGTGAAAATATGTAAAATTTTTAGAGTTTGTTTTATTGTAACTGGTGGGCTGTATCTGCCATCTAAAAATTAAGCGAAATATGTTTCATGGCAACAATTAAAGGCCAAATCTTGACTTTAATGAAAATCTAAATTACCTACAAATACGTTGGTTATGAAATATATCCCACACTCTGAATTATCCAACACTCTTGACTCTCCGGCAGACTGCAGGGAAGTTGGGAAGTGAGAAATGGAATGGAAATCTTATACTTGAGTAAAGCTGACTTGATTGCCAATGAATGCTGCTTCGTGTGTAAGGAGATTAGTACTAGCTATGACTTGAATCAAATGACTAAAAAAATTATTTTTAGTGTCGACATGAAACTTGCACTATCTATGAAAAAACGTGATTTTCTAAAGGCAGTAAATACTTTGGTTTTAAAGTTGCCCTTGGAGACGAAGACAGGAAAGGATTTATCTGGTAGTTGATTCGCTCAACCAATTTTTGGAGTCAAAATGACTTCAATCATATCTCTATAATTCGGGAGAAAGTAAAAAGGTTTTTGCCAAAATGCGAACCAATTATCCCGTGGGGCTATAGGAACCAACCACGCACACACAACTCTTATCATTTAGAGATGTCAGTTTAAATAACAGGATGGTAGAAAATGAGGTAATGTCGACACAAAGTACAGTTTTAGCATAGGACATACCTGGCATCCTTTCTCGTTTTACCAAGCAAGGAGAGCAATGACTGGAAGTCATTCCAAAGAGATGATTTGCAAATAGTGGACCTATTGAAGGAAATATGTTGAACAATGGATAAGAGTTGGAAATTATATGGGAAACTGTCTTTGAGTTGTATTTGGTAACACTAGACAATTATATCTATGCTACGTTTATATGTGTTGTTCAGCAGTATGTCAGCAGTAAAAACTCTAGAAGATCGGAAAGAGTTCTTTTTCTCTTCTACCTTATAGCTCCTATTAAACAGACTTTACAAATCGTAAAAGAAATCAGCTATAAATTGTCATGGGCGGAAAATTAATGGTTTCATTCCACCTTGGAAGCCTCTGTCTAAGGGGCGAGTAGAAACATCAGGTTGGTCTATGGGTAACACTACTATGATGGTAAATAACAAATGAAATTGTGCCAGATCTCTTTAATGCCATGAAGACAAAACAAATAAACAAATCCTGATAGAACTGGCTTACCTGATTGCCATTGGAAAGATACAGGATTTTAGTGATTTTAAATATGATAGATGACTGATTGATTGACACAAAGGATAGTTATCCACCAGAATGGAAAAGGAACTTATCAAAAGGATGCTCAGTCACGCAGAAGCTAAAATCAAGACTAATTTGAGCAACAGAATTTTCTGTTGTTAAGTAGAAAGGTACACATAGAAGAAAGGTACACATAGAACTAATTTTTAATGATCGTAGACGTATATCAAGAAAATTGTGGACTAGAATTAATACCTGCTACTGGGTCACAAACAAGACTTGGTCTGGTAAATCTAGTTGTCATTTTTTTAGGTGCGCTTTTGTTGCGATGGCAAAACAGGCATGATTCCAGAGATGGTTGAACAGAAAAGATCTGAACAAAGTCTTTGATCCGAAGAGGGCGATGAGATAAAAGGTTGATGACACAAAAAATGTCTCCAGGGGGTTTGACTACAAGAACTTTGAAAACAAGTGCTTTAGAACGAGTACTTTCGGGCAGACTGGAGAGAACTGAGGTGTCCCACAGACAGGAGAAACTACCGCTCCGAGGAGGGAAACTTATGACTCTCCTCCACAATTAGCCAACATTTCATGTTCAACTAATCCACTTTCTCTAGGCAACTGACCTATACGCCGCACAGAACTGACATAGAAGGCACTCGTAATACTGGCCTAAATACAGCGCGAATTCAATCCAAATCTCTATGTACAGGAAAACCGCTTTCCACTTACCAAGAATCCTTGCTTATGTCATGCTTTTTGGTGGTTCCTTGCTTCTTTCCATTTACAATAACTTCATGAATCGCTGGCTCACAACAGTACAGAATTGCTAAAATTGACAGAGAATAATTCATTAACAATTTTTTATATTACAATAATCAAGAATCAAAGAAAAGTAGAGGCGTGAAAAATACCCCAAGTTAAGCATTTGAAAGGGTGCATCACGATAATCTTGACTAAAGCTTGTATAAAAACGATTTCAGAACAGCGGTAAGTCGCATTTACAATTAAAACTAACATGTTTAAAATGATGAACATTCTTCTGTTCCATATAGAACTACTTGTGTTCTATAAAAAAACTACCTTGGTAATACCTTTACAGATGAACTCTGCAGTTTACTTTGCATTAACCATGCAACAATAAAATAAATGTCTAAAACGCTAAATTGACAAACTAAATACAAGCATTCTTACATGCTCCTGATGCAGCAATCTTCCCAAAACCTAGCTCTTGTTTCCATCTTTCTTCGACACAACACTTGCTATCTGGAAACGCGTTATTTTTGCAATGATAAACCTTTGCACATGTGTAATTAAAGGCACTTGTACGATCGAGTTTCAAATCTCTTCCTCTTAATGAAATTCCTCGCAGCATGGTATCCATACTGAATGGACACTTTCCAATCACGATCGAATCAAGGTAAATGGGCGACTCGAGTAAATTTGAAAGCAGACCTCCTTGTATGCCAAGAGTACACCATTTCATAATCTTATCAGAGCACGACATAGATAGCGTTTTCTCACCTCTACCAGGCTTCGTTCTTAAAGCTCCAATTACGTGATAATCTGTACCGTTTAGAAGTGGATCTTGCATGCCTTTAGGCACGCATTTCGCTCCTGTTCGATGAATATCATTGCAACTACGTAGATATTCTTTCTGACCATCCAAAAAGTTTTCTTCTTGACAGGTAGAATGTGCATCAGAGTTCTCATATTCGTGCAAAGACTGTTGCTGGGAACTATTTGAAGATTCATCCAGGTCCACCTTCTTAGAAGTCTGTCTTGATGTCTCATCAACTTTACACTCCTTGTTAGCCGAATCGGCCTGCAAAAACGAATGATAGGGAGTACTGATTTTATCTGTGTTACATTTGTATTCTTTCCTTCTTTTGACATCTACCACAGTGGCTTCACATTCACTTCCCTTTGCTTCCTTTCTCTTGCGAGTTACTGCAATGGAAACGTTGGAATAATGAAGATCCCCTCTTAGAGATTGATAGAGCTGAGGTGATACATCAAATATTGTTGCAAAATAGTAAAGAGTAATGACAAAACAAAAGAACAGAAAAAAAGGTTTTTAGCATTTTTCGTCTCTGATTATAAAGAGCATATGTCGCATTAACAGTTGGCTAATAAAACAAAAGCGTTTGGAGTGAGCGTTGAAAGTATTGCATTAGCCAATCATGTTCAAGATACAAGCCCTTTAAGTTGTTTACAGAAAAAGAAAATAACATAAAAGAAGACATAAATAAATCTGTTTTACAATGTCAAGAAATTCCAAAATATTGTAAATTATAAAATGTGGTACTGTAGAAAACAAAAAAGGTTATTTGGTCACAGCTAGATAGTTTGCTAAGGAAGAACTGAAAAAAGGCAAGAAGATAAGTACCTTGTATGGGATCTCTAGTGGTGTTTTCGATGGTGTTGTCTTCTGTTTTGGGAATGATCGAGCAATCTCCACCTGAATTAAAAACAGAGGTTTCAAAAAAAGGAGAGAGGCGTTTCACACTTGGAAATAACGCACGAGAATTCCACTAAAGCAAAGCTTTTTATGGATTTGTAGATAAAACAATAGGATTACCATCAAGCCTCCCCCCGGAGAAAACATGGATTATAAATCTACAGACTTAAAGACATAGATCCAAAATAAAGACAAATTTGCTTTTCAGATACAAGCTTCTATAAAGTGATGCGAATATCAGTTCGTGTCCGTCCATCCTTGATAAATCCACACAAGAATTCTAAAAAGAGCTTGCACTTTAGTTGTAAAGTACTCTCAGGACCTTATTCTTTTACAGTTGTGCATAACTCTGAGGACATTAGAGATGAAAAATTTCTTAAATCTTAAAAAGTCGAAGCTGTTGTGACTCGGTCATTCTAAAATTTCTACAGTTCTTATATTGAAGAATTTCGAGGATAGTAAAAAGTAACCACTCAGTGAAGAAATACCACTCGGTGATTGATGAACTAAATTTTGTGATTTCAAATGTTATAGAAACGGCACACATACAGTTTGAAATCTGTTTTAAAAAAGAGATGTCAGCTTTATCGCTTACTCAACCTATATGTATGATAAGATCGATAAACAAGTTGTCTTTACTGACTTAGCCTGTGATCTATGGCCCTCTTCTCGTGGACCTATGTGATACAAGTCTAAAATAACAAAACTTGTTTATTGGAGAGTACAATTGATACTATACCTTACTAAATCTTACAAAGAATTCGCTTGCAACAAATATAATTCATTGAAACTTATAGGGTTATGATTCCAAATAAAATTTCCATATATAATGAATCCTTGCAACTAAATAACTTTTAGTACTCCATAATTTACTTTTTTCTTCATTTCTAAAGATAATCAGAAATTTTAATTCCACTTTTCAGGGAAAACTTTTCATTAGATACTGCTATCGTACAGCTGGCTTTTTTATTGGCTAAAGGTATATTGAAATTGAGTAGGCCGTCATGATTATTTGAATTGACAAGGTCTTCAAAATTGTTTTTGAAGATCAAGAGCTTACTATGCAAAAGCCGATAATCTTACCTATTGAGACCATTCATTAGGCGAATCATTTACATGCAATCTACAGGTTGTAGGGTCGAACGAAGAGCCTTGTGGTACTTTATTTTTCACCAATGTCCTGACTTTATTTATATGAGAGATTTGTTTACGACATAGTTATTTGAAGCCTGTATAAATATATAATAATAGAATAGTGAATGTTTGAACAAAATCAAGTATTATCATAAAAGAAGCAAAGAGTATCACATACATGGGGTGTGAGATGTAAAGAGATGAAACTTGACTTCAGGCTTCAAGACAAAACGACCTTCTTTGGTAGATTTAATGAAAATGCTGTCAAAATGACATTCAGCACATCGAATTTGGTCATAAAAGTACCTAAATAAAGTAAAGAAATGAAGATTACAGAATTGTTGAAGGTTGAAATTGCAGAGAATTCTGTATAATATGGTATTCTGAAATTAAAAAAAGATAAACATTCAACCACAAAGATAAACAAGATTAAACATACAAATTTGATCTTTATTTTTCAAAATTTTTTGCTCATTTTGTCCAGTAATTAGAATCACCCTCCCCTTGACAGTAAATACAATCCTGGATTGGACAGATGATGTTGAGGTGTTGCACCCCATCTCTCCAGCTAATATTGGCACTGTTACCTGCAAATGCTTTTTGCTAGCCCTTAAATTTTTACGCTAACTTTAGACTGCAAATAAATCAGCAGGAAGTGAAAGTGCAGCAAAAGATGAAAAGGGAAGTTTGAAAAATGTTTTGGAGCATATGCATCAACACCAGTAGAAAACCCAATTAAAATTAATTGCAAACAAAACCACTTTGTTCTCTGATGTTGGGCATAAACTGGGAGGAGTTCAAGCAAAAAGAAGGTATGTACATTTGTTTTAATTTGTTAAGTTTTATTTGAACTTTAACTTACAATACTGAAGAATATGAAATAGTATGTTAGAAACCTTACTTCAACAGAAGACGCCTTGCAAGGATTTCTGCATGACTATCATTGATTATACTTCCTAGAGAAAAAAACGAAAACAAAAGTACACCAACAAGCATCTCAAGGCTGTGGAAAGCTTTGACAATTTTTTTTATATTTTTTTAACAATAGAATCATTAGATTCAATTCTTATTGTAAGCTTAGTCTTACTTGCTTCAATTACCTTAATTTGAAAGCTAAATGAGCAAGATTGAAAGGAGTTGAAAAACATTTTCATTTTTATAAGTGATTATAAGTGATTATCAAAAGCTAGGCTAATATAAAACTGTGTCTACTATTTTGGGCTTGGAGTACAGGAAGCAAAGCCAGTAAAAGAATGTGTAGCCTTGTCTAAATGGTTCTTCTCACTTCCTATCAATAAAAATGCCCCCTCCAGCCCCAATGGCATTCTTTGTTTCTAGACATATAAGCAAACTTTTTACTATACAAAGAGAGGCTCAAAGCTACATTATTTTATAAAAATCTGTAATGCATGATTTTTATTATGCCTTGCCTGACGACAAGAAGACAAGCCTGACAGAGAGAGGCTATTGAGCTTAATCAAGCACTTTCTACAAGCTTGATTGAGCCCCTAGTGAGTTTATGCTGTCTACACAGAATGCAAAAACAAAATTTGTTTCTTGTGATATTTGATAATGTCTTGTCACATATCATTTGTTCTTAAATGAATTGCAAACAGACTCACTAAGTATCAGATAAATAGGTGTACATAGGCCTTACATACTATAGAATTTTCATCCAGTTCCGACCAATGTTTTCATCTTGGGAATAAATCATTACAGATCAGTTAACATCAATATAATTTTGGTAAATAAATCAGCAACAAATCAAAATGTTTTAATAAAATTTACTTTCTATAATTTGATCAAAAATCCTTTGTTTTCTGTTAAGATTGACTGCTTATTGAACTAGCAAGATAGTAATGGATTGGGTCATTCCTTTTTTCTAGATGATCAATCATGGGCCTAGAAAATCCAAGGTGCTCAGTTTGTCAAGTGCCTGCAACTTGACCCCAAACAAGACCTAATGAAGACATTTCAATGCTTTTATCTCACTGCTAAATTAATCAAAAATATTCTTCAATTTGTTTTCAAATTCAATGCAAAAAACAGATTTGCAAACAGTGTTAATTAAAACCCCTTGCCATTAGTTAATATAAGTACCAAATGCACAACAGGTTTCTGAGACAGAGGTTCTCATATGATTAAAAGTTTGGAGATTGCTTAGGGTTCAGAAAACTGACTGGCAAAATTTATTAGAAATTGCTACCATACTGTATATGTATTTGTCATTTGACAAAATTAAATCAACATATCAAACATTGAAATTAAATAATACCATTATCTTTTCTTTTACTCATTCCAATGCACTTTGATCCAGTTGCTAGGCAAATTACTTGTAAACTTTCCTGCTCTTTCCCTAATAGATAAAAGAGAAAATTGAGCATAATCTACTAATTTCTGTTACTCGTTCACTTTTCATTGATTTTTTGTATGAATAAGTCATAGCAAAAACAAGTTACAGAAGACAAAAAGAGCCAAAAGCCATTTTGATGATTATGAGCTAGAGAAAACAAAAATACACTTTCCTATTGAAGTATATGTATTTTTTAAATGTTTGAGATAACTTCACATTATAAAACAAACAGTTTACAAATATACTGTTTGCTCAGTAAATGCCAAACAACAATATTTTAGAATTCAACACCTCAAATAGAAATTCCTTCTAATAAAAATTCAGTCCCTAATGAATTTCTATTTATGTACAATATTTTGAAAAAAATTAACACTAGACTAACATTAACAATTGTATCTCTCTACAACAGCCTCTGTTCAGGCCCTATACTCTGGTAACATTACGATAACACCTGATAACATGATAACAAGTCAGCAAATTCCACCCTCATGTGCTGATCTCAGGTGCAAGTGCACAGAAATAATCAAAAAGTAGAAGGTCCTTGAGCAGTATTAATTTGCCATTTCTGCATATCGGCTACAAAATTGCCATGATCTGCATACTGGGCATTTGCAAAATTGACAGTGTCATCAAAACTGAATATTATTATTGCAAACATTGCCCACCATGTCAGTTCTCTCTCTCTCTCTTTCTGTAGCAGACAAGCAAGTATTTTAAATTGCTCGTCAAGAGGAGTAATGTATTTAAGGCAACTGATGGCATAGGATGGCATACTCAGCATCAGGAAAAGCAAATGAAAATTCATAAAAGTAGGAAACAGCAAAACCAATATTTCCCTAGCGTGTAGCGAGAGGATTCCTAATTGAGGAGGATATCATTACCTCCAACATTAGCAACAACAGAATTGTCCGTCTTCAAAATAGCAGCTAACAAAGTCCATTCACGGCCAACCTGGGGTTTTCCTGTCTTTTTTAGATTGTTGTAAGCTGATATTGCTGCCACAGCGACGCGCTCTGCAAAACCTAAACCATCTGCCATTTTGAATCTAGGCCGACACAGTATGGAATGCAGCTACAACAACATGACTTTGGATCTTTTTGAAATTCGCGGGATACTATGCAGCCATGATGCAGCAGAGAGCAAAGCTAAAACAGGGACGCCTGGCACTGTTGTCCCTGTTAGGGTGGGGGGTGGGTGGTCTCTATACAAATTGGAAAACTTTAATGGAATTTTTTCTACTATTATCTTTGACGCCACAGATATGACGCCGCCCCCCCCAGCCCACCGGCAGCGTCACACCTGGATAAGTTTGAGAACGAACTTCAATGGAGGGTAGGGTTTCAAATCTTTGATAGGCTGAGAGCAGGGATTGATTTACCGGGGAGGAGGTGTGACATCCCCCTAATTTTTTCTGCGTCCTTCGGTAAATTTTGCCAAAAAATGCAAACATTTACTTAATTTATTTTTATATTTTCTTCATGAATTTTTAAAATGGGCGTCCCCAACATTTTCCATTTACCAGAATGGTATGGCCCCAAATCAAATACTTATTTAACATCCCTCCAATCCTTGCGGCTTAAATCCTTCCCTGGCTGAGAGAACTAAAATCATGGACTGTTTCGGTGTGGTCTTGGCCACATTTCATGGTCTTCGAAAGGTTCTTGGAAATTCCCTACCTGAGATAAATAGTCCACTAAAATGCTGCAAGCTTGTGTGCATATTTCCACCCGTACACAGCCCGCAACTTCAAACTGTTGCTTAAAAAACGAATTTCAATTGTTGTGATTCCAAGATACTACGAAGTAAGTTAGACCGAGTTCTCTAGTATCATGTTTGAAGCAATCTTGGAAAGTTGGAACATTAATGGTTTTTCTCAAACTCTACGACAGAGAAGTAGAAGCAAGAGAAAAAAGAAAAATGAGGATCCACGCCTTAATTATGAAGTTAGCAAAAAGAGCAACTTGGTAAGCTGTAAAGGGGCATTTTGCCAGAAGATTTTGAAGGTGGGGGCACGTGCCCCCTGGGCTCCCCAGTCCCCACGTCTATAAGGCAGGACGACGGAATCTTTCTGGAATTAGACAAAGTTGACAAATCCATCGTATTTACGTTTACGTTTGTCACTATTTTGTCATGTTTCAAGTTTTAGTGCGCCCAAGCCCCATTTCACCAAAACACCTCGTTGATATATCTACACAGAGTGATATCTATCAGCACATTTGCATAATGTTCGTTCATTTGAAAGAGCCCTACAATGGCCTAGGCATTTAGGGGTAAAAGGGGCATTTTGGTCGTGGGTGGCGGGGAAAGTCGGAGAGCCTGCTGGGACAATTCCCCAACCACTGAGTGTGTTAAAAAATGACCTTGCATAGAAAAAAGTATCCAAAAAGCTTCGTTCAAACCGATTCAATCACAGAAGAGCCGAACTGACGTCAACATTTCATCGAAAGTTGAAATGAGAGGGATTCAACTGCACGCTGTACTTAATGCTATAGAAACTCAAAATATTTTTTCAGCAAACTAATTGATTACATGCTACGTCATTTAGGATAGTTGTTCAAAATTCATTTATTAATTCGCTAGTTACAATAAGAATATTAAAGGAAAAACAACCTTAGATACAACTAAATCAGCTGATGGACACATTGAAAAAAATCAAGATAGAGCTATCCAAGCCATGTGCCCAGTTGACGTGATTTAGCGATATAAGTTTACAATTTATTTTGGTTTGAATAACAGTAAGAATAAGATAATAAAAATGCAAATGAAGCTAGAATAAAAAAACTACAGTAAAGATAAAAAGTGGGAGAATTTGGTTTACAGCAAACAGCGTGTGCTAGTATTTTCACCATGTTCGATTATTTTAGGTTATTTAAAAGGTAACGTTTCATTTTGTTTTTGAAAGATATTTTGTTGTTGGTTTTCTTCAAATCTATAGAAAGGCACCAAGAAAATTTCTTTGAGGCAAATAAAAGAAATCAGCTAGTCCAAGTAAATTCTATGCTCTTAGCATGCTTTGCTGAAACACAATGTCACCTTGGCAAGGCACCCGCTTTCCTTTCAAATGGCATCTCAAAAGACAATGAAATCAGCTGAAGTCTTTTACTCTGTATGAAAACACAACACGAGGGGAAGCCGTATAAACAATAAACTATTTTGCGGCAACCTGACTCAAACACAAACGGGAGTTGTTTGTTTTATTTCATAGATGTCATCAGCTTGTACGTGCTTGTTTATTCGCTGTTTGTAGACTTTGTAGCTTATCCCAACTTTATGAATGCTAAAATGTTTGAGAAGTTTCACACTGATTCAATATAACTTCAAAGGGAAGCAGTTGAAGTTTCGAAAAACAATCTCTTTATGCTTTCAAACTGACTGAGGCAATGGAGCTGCAATTGATAAAAGGAAAACAACCCAAGGAAAAAGGTTCACCAACCAGAAAAGAAGTCGCTTACTCAAAATTACTGAAAAGTTCTTGGCGTATGACCAGGCCTTCCAGACCGTCTACATCGTCAGTGGGGAATCAAGGACGGAGATGTTTGAGATCGCCTCTTCATGAAGCCATCTTAGCTCACGATGTTCCTGGTATAGAAAGAATTTTAAGCAATTCTGTAGGAGATTATATTGATAGTTTCGACGAAGAAGGGATGGCACCACTGCATCAAGCAGCCAAACAAGGGCTGTGTCAAGTTATACCATCCTTGCTGAATCACGGTGCTTCAGTGAACCTGAAGAATGTGGACGGTAGCACAGCTTTACACGTAGCTTTGAGGTAACGTATGCAGAGCTTGTAACTTTATCAGTGGTATACATCGGAATGAACTTTCGCTGTTCCATCAGCAGAGGTAGATTAAGACAATTGAATAAAGCCCAACTAAAAATTAAACAATATATGAAGAAATATACTATTTGAGAACAAATGAGTTATAAAATGTTTCTCACTTAAACCTCACTATCAATCACATCTTTGAAATCAATATTTTACGTTTTCCCAAACGAGGCTTCTCTTTTAGAAGGCGTCTTTTATCCCTAGGACCGACTTTATACGGTTATGTTTTGATATTTACAAAATAAAATTTTTCGCTACAAAAAACTATAGCTTCAGAGTAGGTCATTATGTCTCATTTTCCACCTACCTGTCGATTTTTCGTTTCCTTGGAATGGAGGGCCCTGGCAAGGCTTCCTTGATGTTTCAGCTGCAAACCTCGAAATCGACCATTATGCAGAAACTTGGATTTAGTATTGGGTTGGATAAAAAGATCTTTTCTGACATTAGCATCTCAGATTTCGTTTTATCAGGCCTCCCCATTTGAGGAGTACCATGACTCTTGCTCCCCTCCAGGCTCCCCTCCATGGGAAATGTTAACCGCTTTGCAAAAGACTGTTCAGCACAGAAGTGCACATTAGAATAGAGCGTTTGAGGGTGTTCAAAAATGTGTAAGAATTTGGAGTAATGTATCCAAGAACAACCAAAACGTCTAGGGCTTAGTTTGACAAAATTATCACAATTCTTGTATATTGTGGTACAATATGTTCATGTTCATTTTTTTTTTAATTCCACAACATAAATTTCCACAAAATACTTAATAAAAATACAGCAATTTAAAATAACAAGCAATCATTTTAAGAATAAGATGTGGAACACAAATTACATGTGGGGTATGTATGCATGGGGAATCATTTAAAGGAGGAACTGTCTCAGTAGCAAAGCTAATCGAGGAGAGAGGCCCCCTATACAAAAAAATATGTCAGCACTTCACAGATATTAAAATAAATTATACCGAAAATTAAACTCCGATCTCTGTAAGTGGGAAGTGAAGAACAATGTGAGAAATTTAGAGGATTAGTTTTCAATGATTTGTGCAAGCAGATATGACTTCAATTTGTGACGTAAGCAGACCAATGATTCAGATTCTTTGATGGCAGTAGGAATACTATGTGTCATTGCATGGTATGTGTGCTCTTTTCAACGGATGAGAACTACATCTCCTACTGCATAGACCGTTACAGTCTGTGTTGAACGTCTGTGAGCTCATTTTTCAAGACTCTTTAATCTATCTTCCCAGGTACAGCCGGGAAGATATCGCGTTGGCATTAATAAATGGTGGAGCAGATGCTAGCTTGATTGATTCAAGAGGCCTGAATTCTTTGCATACTGCTGCCAAGGAAGGTTTACCATCGATAGTTCGTAAACTTTCAGAAGAAGACCTCGTTGATGTAGATGCTCGAGATAAGAATTTGAATACAGCCTTGCATCATGCAGTCGTGG